GGGCATTTCGGCACTCTAATATTGTTCTCGCACTTTCAAGGACATGGACTGTGCATTTTGGGGCGCTGAGGCGCTTGAAATTTCGTGGACCGTGGCAGATTTTTGCGGACCGCGGCAACATTTCGCGGACCGCAGTTGGAAGTTTTGTAGATCCGCTGGTCCGACTTCGGAAGCCTATATCTTTTGATCTACAAGGGATTTTGAGATGATTCAAAAACGAAAGTTGTAGCTCTTCGTGTCCAGTTTCTAGAAAGATATAGAAGTCATCATTTGGACATCTATAGATAAAGTTATGGCCAAACTACTAAAGTCTGGCAGTGCAGCCCAAGAATTTTGCGGACGAGCCAGTTTTTCGCGACCGCGGGACTCGGAGCGCGGCCGCGCTTGGAATTTCGCGGACCGCGCATGGTGAGTTCAGAGAATGGACTATATATCCGAGGTTTAGGTTATTATTTCATTTTTGGACCTTGGGAGTTCGGTTGGAGACTATGTTTCGTGTGTTTTTCAAGAAATTTATCGGGGTAAGTAATTCTAACTCAGATTTGATTAACATACATGAATATATTATTATTTTCATCATGTAATCAGTATTTTGAGGTGGAAATTTTGGAAAAATTGTAGAAACTTCATAAAATAAATTTTTGAGATTTGAACACCGATTCAGAGTCCGATTTGAGTGAAATTAGTATGGTTGAACTCATAATTGGATGGGTTGTGAGATTTTATGAGTTTCGTCGAATTCCGATACGTGGGCCCCACGTGTAATTTTTGGTGCGTAATTTCGAATTTTTGTGGAAATATTAGTATTTTGATATGGAATTAATTCTTATAAATTTTGTGGGATGAATTAAATTAATTGTGACTAGATTCGAGCCGTTCGGGAGTTGATACACGCATAATTGGATTTCTGGAGCATTGTTTAGCTTGCTCGACATTGGATTTGGCTTGTTCGTGGTAAGTAACTCTTCTAATCTTGGAGTTGAAGGTATGAACCCTGAATATATGTATTTCATAAATTGTTGGGAGGTGACGGGTGTGTAAGCGTGCACTATAGAAATTGTGACATAATTATTTCCGTGAAATTTTGTAGTTAAATGATCTTGGCATTTTTCACGCGATTTTATGAGTTAAAGAAATTGAGCTGGAAAGCATATTAAAAATCATGTTGAGGCTATGTGCCAGTATTAATGGGGCCCGCATATGTCATATTATTATGAAATATTTATTTTAAATTAAAAATTCATACTCAGTCATATTCATTTTATTGCATATCATATCTCAGTATCCGTTGTTATTTATTGATACATGATATTATCATTTTGGGCTATTCTCGTGACATTGTGAGCCCATGAGAGAGAGACCGGAGAGATTGATGACCGAGGGAGGCCGAGGGTCTCATTGTGAGGATATTTTTGGGATCGGGTTGCGCGTCACAGCAGGCCATGTTGGCCTTAATATTTATTATACTATTGTACGTGAGTTGGTCGTGCAGCACGTGAGTTGTCCGTGCGGATCCAGATATTATTATAGCACGTGAGTTGTCCGTACAGCACATGAGTTGTCCGTGCGGATCCAGATATTATTATAGCACGTAAGTTGTCCGTGCAGCACGTGAGTTGTCCGTGCGGATCCAGATATGATATTATAGCACGTGAGTTGTCCGTGCTTATAGCGCTTGGGCTGTAAGAGCCCCTCATGAGTCTGTACACACACCCAGTGAGCGCAGTCGACTATAAACTGGGTTCGGGCTGCACACCGCAGCAGGTATTGTATAGCGCTGAGTGATTGAGTGTGCTGAGCATAGTGAGAGAGAATGCGAGACAGTGAGATTGAGTACTCTGAGAGTGTGAGTACATGAGTACAATCTCTGAGATACATTGCATTGACATACACACATAACATACATGCATAAAGATGTGTTTTCCTCATGTTGTACTGTATCACATTATTCATAATTTCTCACACATGTTGACAGATGGGCATAGTGATGCATTTGTTTTGCACTGGTTATCTGGAAAGAAAATGAGATATTTTATTTATTATTGAAAGAATTTTGAAAAAATTACTGTTTTCAAACTATTCATATTTTTGGCAACTTCGGCAAACGATTTGAGTTATCACTGATGTATTTGAAAGGAAGAACTATTATTTTTGAAATCATGATTTGGTTGAGCATTTTATCTCTGAGTTACTTCTGGTATTATTTATTTTATGTTGTTATGGACTGTTGTAGATTATTGGTGGAAGCTCGTCACTACTTTCAACCTACGGCTAGGTTTGTTACTTACTCGGTACATGGGGTCGGTTGTACTGATACTACACTTCTGCATATTGCGTGCAGATGTTGGCTGTTGTTGTTGCTGTGCTCGATGGTTGCGGGACTTGAACATGTACCTGCGTTCCTGTTGTAGCTGTCTCTTGTTCAGGGTAGCCTTAGATTTATAAAAGCTCTATTTATGTATTATTCAAACAGACTATGTATTTATTTCATTTTCGCTTTGTATACTCTATTCTTAGAAGCTCATGATTTGTACTACCAGTTCTTGGGAAAATGTTCTGGTTTTCGATATTTCTTTTAATTAATTTTATTGGAATTGGATAGTTGGTAATTGGCTTACCTAACGAGTTGGGTTAGGTGCCATCACGACTAGTTGGATTTTGGATTGTGACAGTGTGGATCTTATATACATTGATATTTTGACACGTGAGTTGTCCGTGTGATGGTGAAAGAAATATGGGCACGAGGTGCCGTGGAAAAATATGAAAGTGGGCTTGAGACCCGTAATTTTTTTATGATTGTGAAATGAGGTGTCACATGGTGAATTTTACTTGAAAATATATTTATTGGAAAGTATTATATCCTGAAGATTATTATTTGAAAAATATATAGGCGAAAGAATTTATATTTGAAGGACTTGATTAATTGGTTGTACTTGTGTTCCTTATTCATTTAAGCAATAATTATGATGTTCTTGTTGCATTGTTGTTATATCACTGGTTGATTTTGTTGTTACCATTGCTAGTTATTTTCCAGTATTATTTTATATACTATATTGCACAGGTTATTAGACTAGTGAGTGTCTTGACCGTACCTCATCTCTACTCCACTGAGGTTAGTCTTGATACTTACTGGGTACCGACCGTGGTGTACTCATACTACACTTCTGCACATTTTTTTGCAGAGCCAGGTATAAGAGGTATCGGACCCGGACAGAGTTAGAGTATGATCGCAAGGATTCAAGGTAGAGCTGCTTGTTCGTCGCAGTCACTTAGAGTCTGTTCATTTCATTGTACTATTAATTTTTAATCAAACAGTATTGTATATTTGGTCCTCGTGATCATTCCATGTATTCAACTAGAGTTCGTGACTCAGTACTACCAGTCTTGGGAGGTTGTATATTCTTATTTGATCCGTTGTTAGTTTTGTTTTCTTATTTAATTCGAAAAAAAATGGCTTCAAAAATGTAATTGAATTCGGCTTACCTAGTATTAGAAACTAGGTGCCATCACAACGCCTGTGGCCGGATTTTGGGTTGTGCCAAACCCCAAATATGCAGGCGCCTTAAACTAGGTTTCCTTCCTGTCCACAGTTCAAAAGGGGTCTTTGGAACTGCCTTACTAGGAACCCTGTTTAATAAATATACAACGGTTTTAAGAGCATACATCCACAATGATTTGGGTAATGAGGAATTACTCATCATGCTCCTAACCATATCCATAAGTGTTCGATTACGCCTTTCTGCAATACCATTTTATTGAGGTATTCCTGGCATAGTATAGTGTACACATATGTCATGTCCCTCGAGGAACTTTGCAAATGGACCTGGACATTGTCCCGATTCATTATATTTTCCATAATATTCACCACCTCTATCTGACCTAATAATTTTCACCTTTTTATCTAATTGCCTTCAACCTCATTAACAAATACCTTGAGAGCATCTGTTGCTTGAGATTTTTCTTTCAGAAAATAGATGTATCCATAACATGAAAAATCATCGATAAAAGTGATAATATATTTCTCTCCACCAAAAGATGGAACATCAAAGGGTCCACAAATATCGGTGTGTATAATTTCAAGAAGTTGGGTGCTTCTTGTGGCACCTTTCTAACTATGCTTGGTTTGATTTCCCTTAACGCAATCCAAACATATAGTAAGATCAGTAAAATTTAGATTCGGAAGAATCTGATTCTTTACTAATCTTTCTAACCTTTCTTTGGATATATGACCCAAACGGTTATTCCACAAGTAAGCAAAACTTTCATCTAGTGAACTACGTTTAATTCCAACATTATGTTGAACATTAAGAAGGGATTCAGAAAAATCAATATCGAGTTTCAATTTATATAAACCATCACTAAGAAAACCAAAACCATAAAAAATAGCATTCTTATATAAATTAAAACATCTATTTCTAAATTTTAAATCAAATCCAGAAACATCAAATCTTGAAAGAGAAATCAAATTCCTAGAAACTGAAGGTACATAAAGAATATGTAATAGATCAAGGTGACGTCCAGTCTCCATGATCAAACGATATGTCCATATGCCTTCAATTGGAGCCTTCATACGATTTTTCATGAACAAGAAATTCTTATTTGGATTTGTAGTTTGGATCGTAAGGAATCTCTGCAACGTAGTAAATACATGAGCAGTTGCACCAGAATCAAGCCACCAAGTATTATTAGGAACTTCTATTAAATTTGATTCGAAACATACAAAAGCATTAATTGTACCTTTCTTTTCGAACCAAGCTTTACGTTTCAGGCAATCTTTCTGATAGTGTCCTTCCTTGTTATAGAAACGACACGTATCTGCCTTATGTTCCTTCTTAGCATCCTGTGGAGCTTTAGCATGTGCTTTCTTCTTCTTGAACTTGTTGGGCTTCACTTTAAGTCCTTTACCAGCTCCTTGACCCATGAGGTTAATTGAATGACTCCCTTTTTTTCTTAAGTCTTGACTCCTCCTGAGTAAGCATACTGGACAATTCACTAATATTTTACTTATCCTCAATAGTATTATAGTTAATTTGAAAAGGTCCATACTCAGGAGGCAACGAGTTCAGAATAAACTGAACTAAGAAGGAATCATCCACTTTCATCCCCAAGGTCTGAAGTCTTGCTACAATGTTAGTCATCTCGATGATATGGTTTTGCATACTATGCGACCCATCAAACTTCATGAGCGTGAGTTCAGCCATTAGTGTACCAGTGAGAGACTTATCTGCAGAACAAAAACATTCTTTCACAAACTTCAGGTACCCTCTCACACTTTCTGTTTGTGAAATAGTGCTCTTAATGTTGTTTGTAATATTCATTCGCATAAACATAAGGCTTAGCATGTTAGAGTGTTCCCATGCTTTATGGAAAGACTTCTCATCCGCATTGTTCGAATCAGTAATGGCAGCGGGCTTATCATTCAGCATAGCCAAGTCAAGATCCATCACATCTAAGTAGAACTGGACTTGTTCGCGCCATTCAGAGAAGTTCAATCCGTTGAACACATTAACAGACGAAGCAAGTGAATGAAGAGGAATAGCTGCAAAATAGATAATACATGCTCACAAATCAATATGGATTCAGTAAAACAATAAAAGTATATCGCAATTCTCCTTTGGGTAAATACTACGACACACTATCATAATTTAAATGCCATTTAATCTTTAATAGGTAATTAAATATTTTTAACCAAATATATATGCCATCTTTGGACAGACAATATATATTTGACTAAAGAATATTAACTTTACCCCATCATATTCACTATTCATAGAATAATTGATTCACCTTTGGGTAAATCTTTAAGTTCTAGCAATAGTGAAAATTAATTTATCCACTAATTTTTAATTATTGGCATTTCATTAATTTCATGGATAAATTATAATTTTATGTACGCATATTTTTCATGAACATACTAGTTTGACCACTTTGGCGACTAACAAACTATATGAACATAAATGCACACATAAAATAATTATCAGAATATTTTATGCATGTGAATATTTTAGACATTCTAGTTTGATCACTTTGGTGACTAACAAACTATATGAACATTAATACATGCATAAAATAAACATGAATGTGATTTATGTATATATATTAAACATTCTAGTTTGATCACACTTTAGCGACTAACAAACTATATAACTTTAAAACACACACATCAATTATTATACAATACAAGAACCAAATCACAATCGATACATTAGGTGAGATTCACGTGCAACTATTGAAATTTATACATTCCATAAACCTTTTAGGAATAAACTTTATTTCCTTAATGTCCCTAAATATTTTAGATCAGTAACTTTACTTTATGACCTAGAATATAACATTAAATAAAATACAAACATTATGTATAAAATCAATCTAGGCCGATACTGACAGATACAGTCATCCATAAGCAGACAACAATTCAGAGTCACATTAATTGTCTGATGAACTAAGAAACAAGCACTTTAATACATCTCATTATTCAAAACAATATACTTTAATTGTCTGATGCGAAAGATTGAATTGACTATCAATTAAAAAATTACTATAGTATTTCCGAGGGCTTTGAGCAAGTCATCCTAGTTCTCTGCTTTATGCGTAAATAATACTTATGAAGATTATCAGTTCTAAGTTACAGGCTCATGATACCACATGTTAGCATAAACTTTAATTCCATATCAGGATCTTGAACATGATAATCTTACATAAAATTATTACAGAAAACATACATGAATCGTAAGCCATTATCACGAAGCGGAAGCGTTAATTGGAATTGGTTTCTCGCCCCTTGCCCTAGCTTTCGTTACCGTCGACTTTAGTAATGGAAGAGAGAATAGGAAAAAAAATACGGTAACACTAATGGGTGGGAAGAAGACCAATTTATAGAGGTTCTCATTTAATCTGGTACGTCCATCAAGTAACCGATCGGACGAATAAGATTTGCTCATTAATTAAATATTAATTATGGGCCTTAAACTTATTGGGCCACCAAAACGTAAGAAAATCTTACACATTGGACATAAGCTTTGAACACAAGAGTCTAGGTTTTAGTCCTACCATAAGCTCAAAGAAATTCAACTCCAAATATTGAGCTTAAAGATAGATTGGCCATTGCTGAAACCCTCAACATTTGTGGTTATAAAATAAAGTTAGAAATATGGCAATAAAGAGTTGGTATGAAAAAGGAAGTGTAAAACTAGCACGGGCTGGCCAGTTTTCGAACTGGTAATTAAAAAATAGTAAGTATTTGCGAAGTTATTAAAAAATAGCAGTATTTTACTGAAACACGGAAAGCTCCAGGATAATATGCTGGATTATGGAGGTTCTGCGTATAAACTTCCAGCATATTATGTTGGAACTCCAGCACACAGAAAGTTCCAGCATAATATGCGGGATTATAAAGCTCCTGGATATATAAATTTTCAGCATATTATGTTGGAACTCCAGTACACGAAAAGTTCCAGCATAATATGCGGGATTATAAAGCTCCTGCATATAAACTTCCAACATATTATGATGGAACTCCAACATATTATGCTGGAATATTTTTGGATTTTTAAGAGTATTTTTATTCAGATTTTATCTTTACATAAAAAATGACTAAAATTTGATAACTTTTGAAATTGTGACTATTTTTCAATTGTCATCCGTAAATATAATTATTTTTTATTTTTTCCCGAAGAAAGTGTTTGGGTCAATATGGGAAAGTAGTTGTCATGTGTGATCTAGTACTCCAAGAACCCAATGGCCCAACCTTAGACTGCAATGGGTTATGAGGGTTTATATACGAAGCGAAAAATTGTATCGAGCCATAATTAGCAATTCATCAAGGATTACTTTATATATATAATATGTGTATAATTATGTATAATAATTATATTATATGTATACCGGCTAGAAAAGATAAACAGTAAATTTAATTGACTATTTGCGTAAAAATTCCTTTTTAAAATTTGTCCCGATTAGCCTAATGGACTATATTTCACCTTAAAGTAGTTGGGTGAATTTCTTTCTTTTTTTCCCAAATAAATGTAGCTCAAAATATAACCGGAACAGAATTATCTCCTATTCACCTTTAAAAGTAGTTTAGCCATATTCCCCTATTACTTCTACAAATATTATCTCGTGTCTTATATACGCTAACAAAGATAGAAAACTAAAATGAAAAAACACAATAATGAATGTATGTCTTCCTCCCGACCGAAAATCCAAGTCCAAATCCTAATACGATAACTTTATCACTTCTTAATCGAAGTCTGAAATTTCGTTTCTATCTTTTGAAGCTCCGTCAGTCACATACAAATGTTTAAAAAAACTTACACTCAATATTTATATAGCAATTCAATAAATTATACATAACATGTATTTTTTGGTACATGATTATCACTTAATTATAATTAATTTAAATATATTGTCGCTTCTCTTTTATCTTTTAGGGGTCGTTTAGTAGGGATTATTAGAAAAAATAATGTAAGCATTAACTTTGTGCATTACTAATCCCTTGTTTGGTATATTATTTTCATCATATGTATAACTAATATTTGTATTAGTTATACATCATATTTTATATTATCTTATGTATAACTAATACATAGAAAACCTGATATTAGCAATGCAAGGGTTTTTAATACTTACATAAACCTGGTTAAAGACATAATTGCCCCTCAAATCCCTTAAAATGCATGAAGTTAAAGAATGTGAAGGGTATTTTTATAAACAACTAAGCAATAATTTAATACACAAAATTAAATAGTGAATAAGAAATAATCTCGTCATAGCTAAACTCAACATTAATAATACTAGCATTACTAATACATCATATTCAATTCAGTACTATTCTTATACCTCCTATCAAACCACCCCTTGATCATAATAAACCAAAGTGATTTGATATAAACGCCAACCAAGAATTCATCATTTTTCATATAAATTTATCTAACGGGTATAAATTGGTTGGGGGTACATAGACCCTTTTTTTTAAACAGCCGGCACTCTAGATCAAGAAAGTCAAACAATTCACCCATCGCAAAAACTCCCCCCCCCCCCCNAAAACCCCCCCCCCCCCCCCCCAAAACACACACACGAAAAAAGCAGCATGATGAATGGGGCATGGTTTCATAAGTCTTGGACAAGGAAGAAAAAAGAGAGAAAAAAGTTGAAAATTTAGAGAATTTTGGACCGCTTAGGCAGGTTAAATTTGAGAAAGAAACAAACCCTCCAAGACATTGATGATGAAAATTTGTCAAGCAGTTGCAACTACCGAGAGAAAGGGACACCAACAAACTTGTTTTTCGAATTCGTATTTGATGATAAAGTGTATTCTATTAAAAAGTTTTTTAATTCTAAAGGTTTGTACTCTAGAAAAAAGGTTTGTACTACCTCCCTAGGTGTTACCTAAAATTAATTATGCCTTTGGGTGCATTTGGTATTACAGAAAAATATTTTTCTATTTTCTACCGTTTGGTTGCACAAAATATTTTGAAAAATATTTTCCTAAATATCATATTTTTCTGAAATTGGAGGAAAATGACTTCCCTAGAAAAAATTAGGAAAACATTTTTCAAAAACTCCACGTACCTTCACATCTAACCTCAACCCCCTCCAACTTCAATTATCTATTTTTTTTCGTTTTTCTACGTCAATCCCCTCCAAATTTCTCATGTTTATTGTATCTAAATTATAATTTATGAATACTCTTGAAAAATTATTTTCCTTAATTTGCGTACCAAACACCAAAAAATGAATAAGATTACTATTTGTTTTTCAAGAAAATATTTTCCGTTATACCAAAACACACCCTTTGTCTTTGATTATATTAGGTGAAAAACATAATACTTAACAAGCAGTACAACGCTTCTTAGCTATAAAAATCTGGCTATTACTAGAACTTGTATTTATGTAATTACTATAATCAATTAGCAGTCTATGTTAAAGCTACTTCAGCTTCCCTCTACTTCTAGTTAACAGTATACACGTAATTTTTTTTTTCTACAACTAGTATACAAGTGATTCAAAAGAGTGGAAAATGTTGTTACAACTTGTCACTAAACTTGCTCTTTTTTCCCTTTTCTTGTTCTATTTATTTGTACATTTTTGTCCAAGAAGTTGGTAGGTGCCATACTTTCACATTGGCGAAGTGCAATGAACAAAATTTTGGCAAATATGAAAAGAGGAAATTGTTTTTTTCTTCTTCTATCTGAACACATTTTGTCCTTATATACTACGTTAAAGTCTAATATTCATCAGTTGTTAAAAATAGCCTGATAATTCAATTGAGTTGTTTCAAGATAATGTTATCATGATTTGTTCTATGCATGTACTATAGAAGTATAAAGTTTACGAATTTTTATAATTTTGTTGCAAAAATATGGACTTCCAACACCGATCGAAAAAAAAAGATGTGCTGAATTTGTAGAGCATATTCTTACCAAACAGGAAAATTTAAGTATCATATGATCAATTATGTATTACTATTCAAGATCATCATAAATAATAGTATAGTCTGACCACCGAAAAGCTTGTCATCCTAATAGTCTGCTTATTAGTCACATAAATAGACAAATCGCATTTCTAAGAACTAGGTTCTTTTACAACAGTAATATTATTTTGACATTGAAGGATAACATTGTATTTTAAATTTCTTTTGCAACTATTAAAATTAGTTGAAGTTCTATTCTTCAATTTTTAATTCAGATTTTTTTGCAATTAGTAACAAGGAAAGTGGAATTCACTTATACGAATAGAAAGTTGTGAACTACGAACGTGAATTCCATACCAAAAAGTTAACTAAATGTGTACCACATCAGGAGAAGTACAGAAAAAGAACAGAATATATATGTCTATAACAGTTTGAAACTTTTTATTGTGCAAGGTGTTTGTTAATGAAATAAATCCGGACCACTAAAGTCTAAATCCGGATCAATAAATCTCCCACCTAACCTTTTAGAAAATTGAAATTCATATTATAAAAAGAGGTGGTAAGACCACCAGAAAGAAGCATTGAAGATTAGCCAATGCACAAAGGGTTGTGGTAATGAGTGGCTAGGATTCGTTCATATTTAATTAGACGTATCAGGTTCGAGTTCTAGTATATAATTAAAAAAATTATAATAAATTATTTTACTCTTTAATAAGCTTTAGTCATAATCAGGATTAATAGAAGTTCCAATACGAATATCGGAAGAGAAAAAAAAAAAAAAAAAAAAAAAAAAAAAAAAAAAAAAAAAAAAAAAGATGAGCCAAGGAGAGCCGTTAAGGTTTCCACATTCTTCACATATACGATAATTATGCCAAGCTTGTGAAAATTATTATATACTCACATGTTGAAAGACTGGTCAATGATTATCTTTTTAACCATGTGTTATTTTATCACATCGAATATATACCTTAACGTTATACTACTAGTTTGTAATTACAGCCTCGACTTAGCCAAATTACAATTATGCAGCCAAAGAGCCACGATCTTGAACTCGTTCCATTTTAGCCATGCTAGCTAAAAATCTAAACGTCCGACATGCATCTTCTTTTGGCATATATTTGTATGTGCTCATTTTTTTTTTCAACAACACATCTCAATTGTTCAAGATTTTCAAAATGTATAAGCAGTTGAAATTAATCGGTTGTGCCCTTTCAAATTTGAACCTCTCGCTTGTTTGAAATTGAACTAGAAAATCTCTCCCCATCCTCATCTTGTAGCAAAATAATGGATGAGATAAAAGATTACAATCAATGAGATTTCAAGTCCA